AATTGTATAGGCTATTAAGCTTAAGTTAAAGTTAATTGAAATGAATAAATATGAACAAATAAGAAACTAAAGTAAATAACCAAGTAAGGTACAATTTGACTAGAAACAAATAACAAAATAGGTCTATCAATCAATCAATCAATCAATCAAAATAACTTTATTCATATTGCATATTTTGTACAGAATGGAGTCAGTTATAAAAACACAATATTAAACTTAAGACTACTTACAAAGAACATTGTTATTATAAAAAAAATCAAATTTCAGGAAGTTGGAAAAAATCTTCTAATTTATACAAGGGTCTGTTGGTGAGAAATAATTTCAAACGTTTTTTAAATGAATTAAAATTACTTATATTTTTTATATTGTCAGGTAAGCTATTGAAATATTTAACACCACTATAAGATGGAATTTTTTCATAAACCGATAAATTATGTCTGTTGAACGCCAATTCATTACCTTTTCTGGTTGAATATGTATGAAAAGAGTTCAATTTTGGCAATCTTTCATGGTTTTATTTAATATAAAGGGCTATTTGATAAATGTATAAGCTAAAAACAGTCATAATTCCTATTTCTTTAAACTGCTCTTTTGCAGATGTTTTTGACTTTAGTTTTAACATAATGCGAATTGCTTTTTTTTTGAAGTTCCAGAATGCTATTTAGGTTAAAATTTGATGTGCCCCCATAAAGACACAACCAAAAAAAATATGTGATTCAATTAAGGAATGATATACTATTTTTAAGGTTTTTAAACTACTAAATTTTGACATCTGTCTTAATGCATGTATGCCTGAGTTGACTTTATTACAAACGTTTTCAACATGACTGTCCCAGTTGAATTTATCATCTATATGCAATCCAAGAAATTTTATTGTTTTAACTTAAATTTAGTAAAATTGTATCCATAAAAATATTAAAAATATTAAACTCAGGTTAGTTTAAATATTAAACTATACAAAGCGATATAACATAATGCACTTGTGGCCGTACCTAACCACATGTCAGTAGACCCACAACCAGTAATTACAGAAGACTTACTACAAATTTAAAAGTGCATTACAAAATATTCAAATCATCGTTAGATAAACTGGAATGGGGATGTTTTGAGTTTTAAATAATTGATTCTGTGTTACTATACCTTATTTACATATACTATCTCATGTCTTAATACTGTATAAGTCTATATAGGTCTTTTAAAGTGTTTTAAAATGTTTTTCATGTACAATTTATAAGTAAAAAAATATTCATTACTCTAAAATCTAACGAAAAAAGCAGACTTTTACTAGACTTGTAGGACTATCTGTTGCACAAATAAAGTAAGAATGCAGAACGGACATTTTCTTTTATAAATTACTATACGATTAAAATAAAGAAACCAAGACTTCTTTAGTTTGTACTAATCAACATGATTAATTCCATCGTTAATTTGTTTTATATAGCATATATCAGTGTTGTTTATCAACTAAAGAACTTATAAAGGCTTATTTTTACCTAGTATAGAAACACATTGTATTCCAGATATAGTCCAGTTTTTTTTTTGTTTTTTTTTAAGCAGATTAGATTAGAGAAGCGCCAAGCTCTGTGAAAAGCTAAGAACAATGGATTATTGATCAAAAATCTTAGTGGAGGAATCAAAATAATAAGCCAGTTTTATTGAAAAAATGAGTTTAACATAATCCAACTTGTTTATATGTCAGTATGGTTATTATTGAGCAAAAAACTGTATATTGCTATAATGAACATGTTTGTAAGATGAATGTTTGAGTTAATACACGTGTTGATACATCTAGTTTTGGGAATACTTTTTGTCCCATATTTACTTTATAGGAAGCAAGTCAATTACTTGAAATATCTACGATTTCAAGATATTGTCAAACTTTGCAAATGCAACTGTTCATTTGGTTAACACTTTCTGTATATAAGCTTTACATGGAAAATAAAGTTGACTTTGTTGGACATTTCCAATTGACTATGTAGAATTGGTGTAGATTATTTGTGTGCCTGATAATCACACTTGATGCGCTCTTTGAGGCTGTGTTCGAAAATTTGTTGAACCCCCAAAATTTGTTAAAGAATATTTTTTACATATGAAATGTGTTACACTTATGTATACATCAGTAAGTTTCTGAAAAAAGTATTAAAAATGACCCATTAAGCTAAACAAAATGAGTAGGTATTAAGTTTGGCTTATTCTAAAAATATATTTTTTTTATTAAAAATTTTTAAATCTTTAGGTAAGGATTAGGCCTACACATACACTTCCATGAAATACATTCAATTCAATTATTTAAGATGGGGACGCCACTATGTGCGTATTTTAACCCAAATATGAGTGAAGGATGAGTGTAGGATGAGTGGCGCGATCCTGTAGTCTTGTTAGTGACTAAGGCCGACATGTTCCTTAGACACAGCTGTTAATTAATAGCCCATACAGCTAATGGCAACTAAGGGACCTACAGTTTATAGTGGAATCCGAACCACACTTTTCCTTGTAATTTACGAATTGGTCTAATTATCAGGATAGTACATGTAAAGTAGGCTACAAATATATATCAAATAACAAGTACCGGTACTGCAATAATATATTTACACATATACTGTTGACTCATAAGATAGTAAATACTTATAAAAGATGGTAAGTGGTAATCGATTTCAATTGGACACTCCAATCATCATCAGACCCAATAGGCAAATGAAATATATACTTTTATACAAATTAAATACATGTCTCATTGTCGCATTCAAGTTGTAGCCATATTAGTGAATTTCCCATATAGGGATTAAGCTATTACCGTAGTTCTCATGGTAAGACCTGGGCCCGGGACTGATTTTCTTTTTCGCTTTGATGTTCCTAGAGGTCAAAAACACTATCCGTTCAAATTCATATATATATAAGTCTGTTAGCATGATAACTCAAGCAAAAATTATCTGATTTTGATTAAATTTAATGTTTTGTCATGTTAATTGTCTGTCAATATGTCTCATGTTTTATTTATTTAAATATTTAAATGTTAGTATCTTTGTATGTTTCTAAAACTCGACGATCTCGCAAGAGTGACAACAAGAGCCTGATGATGAGGTTATAACCTTGAAACCGGCTGCTCAATACATCAAATTTAGGATTACAGATGGAAACAGTTAATCTTATACCATTTTAATATTCAAGAAGTGATCCAGGATCAAAGAACATCAATAAAAAAGGTTAACTGTGAGTTAAATGATTTCTTAACTTTGTTCTAACTGAGTTAAGACTGATTCCAATGACAAAAATGACACCAGGATCCAGTTTCAAACCATCTCAGTCCCTACTCTGTTACCAGTGTTATCAGTGCTAGGGGTAAACAATCACAAAATGTTGTTAAGTCCCACCAAACAATCATGTCAAGAAATGTGTGATAGTTGAAAGCGCAGACAAGTTGCGTGTTACAGTTATGACTAGGTGTGGGTAGGTTAGTTAATGTTGTCCTTCCCACCAAGGTGAGCGAGATTTCACCTGAATCTAGCTACTGCCGGGACACGAGGCAACTCTGCCCGCATCTCTTATCTTGTTTGTAAACTAAGCCGCGTGGCGTGGTAAAAATTGTTTTGATCTTGCAGATAATTCATTATTCTAAACAATATTTACTTCCCTCTCCATCTTTATAGTCAGTCAATTTGACAGCAAGGGTGTCAATGGTTGCAGCTTGTCGCAGAATATTTAGGGTCGGCAGAAAATAGATGGAGCGTATTGTTTTATTTGTACGAAGCTTGTGGTTGAGCTCTCAACCTGCTTCAAAATGAAGTGTTGAAGTCCTTGGAATTTTCCCTCATAAATGACGTGAGAGTAGGCCTACAACTGTTAAGTTGACCGTAGTAATAATGTGAAACATTATTTATTTGAGAAATAGTCAGTACACAGGACAACAACTCATATCCGTTCAGTGGAAGATTACACTTTGTTTTGAACCCAGAAAATGTTGGATGATTAGAGGAGCCAAAAAAGAGGATAGAAAAAGAGAACTAATTTAAAGAGAAGGAAACAAAAAAAATTCTGTCTCAGATATTGCATGACTATTATTCTGAGGCCAAATACGGGAGGTTCTACTTTACCTTTAGACTTGGAATCACCATTTAAAGGAAATAAAACATGAATACAGCGCTTTAAAATTACTTTTATTAGCTATTTGTGAACTAAAAAAACAATATTTCTAGTTTGTTATATTTTTACACATTGCAACATATTTACATTTTCCGAGACAAAGGCTTTTAAGATAATTGCTACATACAGTATTAAAACCTTTAATTCTATTAAATCTTATAATAATTTATGTTAATTAACTTGTAGAACCACCGATTGTAGCTAAACTATTTCGAGCGGCAAAAAAAGCATCCTGGAGGCAGCTCAGACTATAACTCAAAATATCTCCCAAATGAATTTACTTTCCTAACTGGCTTTACTAATTAGCCATAACCAATTAATATTCACTTTATCAGGTAATTAGAACCCAAAGGCTTAAAACTTTTATTGTAAATCCCTTTTAATCAAAACTTCCCATTAAAATCTCCACAGAGAGTATTTAACTCTCAGGCAAGACCTTACCAAACTTCCAATGGAAACCTGTATCAGGAAATGCACCCGGCTTGGCCAACTGACCCTTTCCGCTACCTAAAGAGGGAAATTTATTCAACTAAAACTCTACTGAAGACCCTCAGAGTTTACATAAATACCTAGAGCATGCCTCCTAGCTTGCAAGCCCTAACCATAGGTCATCAATCCAGCTCGCCAAGCCTACCCTCCTTTACAATATCTAGATTTTGTATCAGCAGAACCAAACAATTCAAGTGGACTAAAATATTTTAGATTCAATAATATGGTAACTAATCTTTATTTACACTTGTTCCAAAACATATAGAACATTTTTAGTTATTGCTGTACTTGTAAATTCTAAATACTTTATAGTTACTCATCATTTACTTACTGAATATAGTTATTAATTTTTTCTTCATTTATTGTTACAGAAGAACCGTTCCCGGACTGGTTGGAGGAGAAGATCGACCTACCGATTTTCGAAGACCTGCCGCCCCCATTGGTAAACTTGGACATGATCAACCCCGGAATGAAGCCTATCAACAACATGGACATCGCGATGAAACCCCAGATGAACTGCATCTCCCCTATGGACATCGGGAAACACACCACCATCCCCTCCCCCATGGACGTGAAGCAAACAATCATCCCTACTCCAATGGACATCGCAATGAAGCCAACTGCACCTGGAATCGAAGTGGTCGCTATGAAACCTCACAACCAAACGTTGGTGATAAACCCCATTCAGTACATAGTTCCTCAGCAGATGGAGCAGCCAATGCTGATGCAGGAGTTGCTGCAGGACGCCCTGACGCCCCCAGACAGTCCGCGGAGTGAGGACCTCGTTTTCACCATGCTGCAGGAGATGCAACCCCACGAGCTGGACGAGCTGGTCAGGATGAGGGTGGAGTCGTTAGTGGAGTCGCCGGTCGACTCGCAGTGTGAGAGTGAGTCAGTGTCCAGCCCTGCACCATCCACCTCCGACAGCGGCTACAGGTGAGGACAGGTTTATTGTTTATGTGATGAGTTGAGTATTTAGTCCACTCCCAGAGAAGTAAGGTACGAAGGAAACACGCTTAAGGGACAACCATGCGCTTTCAGCTCTGGTATGTTGCGCTGGAAATATACTTGTGGTGAGTAAGGAAGAGGCGCACGGCAAGCTCTGTGCGGAAACTTTAATTGCAAGGGCACAGGGTCTTCCTTGACCGTGAGCATTTTTAGTACATTTGGGCAAGAAGGGCGTTGGAATTTAGTGTACCACGACCACTGAATGTTTCCTCTGTACCTTACTTCTCTGTGGTCGAAAAAGTCCAGTACTCAAGTAGGCTAAGTATCGAGTCAACTCAATACCTCAGAGTTAGAATCAGAAATGCTATATTCATAAAAGTTCTTAACATGAGGAAACCTCAACCAAGGCATATAAAATATTACTGTAGGCCTACTACGTTTCTTGTTTCAGTATTGAAATTAAAAATAATTTCATAAATAGAGCCTTTTTCTACAGAAAAGCTTGGAAACGCTGATAAAATTACAAACTGGGAAAATAAAATGTGTCGAGGATATTAACATTATTTTTATCAAATAAGTCAAAATGGTTGAGTTTGTCTTAATTGTGTTTTTTTACTAGTGGCATTTTTGTGTAATTTTCTATTCCAATTACAATATCTAGGCTGTATAAGGCTTCTATGTTTAAACAAATTAAAGTTACGAAACAAGAAGATAAGTTTATTCTTTTGCTTGCAGCGATCCTGAGTGGACAATGCCATCTACATCAGATGTCAGGGTTCCTAAGAGAAGGAGAGTGACAAAACCTTACTCCCGCACACCACCGGAAGAGAAGAAGCTCAGGAAAAAAGAGCAGAATAAGAACGCTGCCACCAGGTATCGAATGAAGAAGAAACAAGAGATAGAAGAGATCCTAGGGGAAGAAAAACAGCTTCTACAGAAAAACGATCAACTCAAGGCAGAGCTAACGGAACTGGGACGGGAGATCAAATACCTAAAAAACCTCATGCGCGACTTGTTCAAAGCTAAAGGCCTCATCAAGTAAAATTCAAAATTTGTATACCCTCTTTTCAAACCTATGAGTACAAAAGTATTTTAGTTCGCCCGACTCTACGAGGTATGATCTCTCCAAACTTCCTTCGATGTTTTTAGCAATATTATTTTTTGTATTATGAATCTTTCTAGAAGAATTAGCTGCGCTATAAGCCTATGGCTGTAATTGTGTTGCTTTGTATAGTCTGTGTTCTTTGTTTAGTGCTATATATTGTCGCTCGTGTCGAATGTTTGAAAGTATTTCAGTTTTCTTGTGCCACTACAATCTGTATTGTTCTTGCTGTGTTTGGCTCAACCAATGATGTCGACTGAACCGCAGTATGACGTACCTTGGTACCGAGGTTTGGCGGTTCACTTTGTTTTATTGCTTCTGTTAAGGACAACATCAACAATACATTTTGTCATCGCATTTACACTAAAACATTCTACAAACTTTCTCGCCTTTGTTTTGTATTTATTGACAAGCGAAAACATGCATCACACATTTATTAGTTAAAGAATGCTGATTGATATTACTCGTTATTTTCTAATTATGTTAATAGTTAAACTGTATTAATTTCCGGTGCTAAAGAATGTTCTGTTCAAATTTGGTGTAAAATTTGAAAACTGTGTTTTACTTGTCAATTTTTATGTTTAGTACTTATTTAGTAAAATTCTGAAATATATATCAGAATCTTGTGAGTTGAATTTTCTTGTTTCATTGAAAACCCTTGTGTTATCTATAAGTCATATCACTTTACTTGGTAATGAAATGCATCCTCTGTGCTCAAGCTATAAAAAGGAGGTGAAATTCAAAGTATTTTGATAATAGGAAGAATCCTTTTGTTTTATAGACGTATTAGGTGGGACAAAATACACACACTATTAATACATAAAGTATTAATACATCTTTTTCAATTATAGATTAAAATCTACTTAGTATACACTAGAAGGTGTTAAAATATTCATTTAATGCTTTTCATGTTTCAAACTTATTAGGTACAGCTCATCTTCAGAAGCATGTTCATATACTATTTCAGACAATATGCTCCAAAACTATGCTTAAAAAAGTATTTTTCTTTTAATTTTGTGTTGTATTAAAACAAACAGACCTGCATGGACCTGATTCAATGTTATTAGTGAGAAAAGGAGGGAAGGAAAATCTTTAGATTAATTTTCAATCAGTTATACATTAATTTATCTAGGCTTACCAATCTCTATTTTTATCCAGGCAGAGAGGCAGTTAACCAAAACAGCGTTGATCCTGGGCTGAAGGTCTAGACGGTATTAAACTGGAAAAATCATGATTACTGGCTGGATTTTCTCCAGAATTAATGCACATAAAAAATTAAGTTCAAAGAGGAAAATTTAATTGTAATGGCTTTTTTTGTGATAAGTCCAAATGTACGAAAACCAGTTTGCTTCACTACACTTTACACTGCTGGTTACTGGTATATCTTTAAAGACCAGAAGGTCATTGTTCGCTGGAAGGAATGAGTAAAATCAGGTGCATTACGGGTAAATTTACTAGTGCTCTTACTCCTAAAAAAGGCATAATATGAGTTTTTTTTGTAGGCTCTGATAAAGCTGCTCAATAAACGTTAGACTCGTTTGAACAGGTATATTACACTTTCACAATAAATATCAAAAAGGTTACCTTAAAAAAATGAAATTCTGTTTAAATGTAGTTTAAAATAGTTGTTGCTGGTAAGGTGGCAAAAAGTATCATTCTTGACTCACCGAGGAAGATGTTTTCAGTACTCGCATAAAATGCATCATACTTGTACCTCAACACCTACTTCCTGACCTTGTAGAATAAATATACTATTTCAAGCCAATTTAAAAATTGTTAAATCACTTGATGGCACCAAACAGTATTAGTTTGATTTTGAAATTTAATTTTTTCTTGAAAAAGAAAACAATCTTAATAACAAAGTAACTGACTCCACTTTTTGATACTAACTGTATGTTTGTCATATATTGTGATTCTTTTAAAGTGTTGGTAGACAGTAGACTCATTTGTTACATAATGGAAATGTTTTTTATTTCAGTTTAACGGCAGTTAATTCCGTCAGCACCTCAATTAGCCCAGTAATGTTCTGGTGCCGCAAGATCTAGGTTGCGAGAACTAATCTTATCATTAATCTGTTTGTACTCTTTGCTATTTAGATTAGATGATGATGTCACATGAATAATTTGTATTGAGATTTTTGCATACCTTTGATTTGTTTTTCTCTAGCAAAATGGTGAAATTAAGCTGTAGCTTCTTGAAGACACAATTATTATAATTTTTTTTGTTAAAAGATGTTGGGGGCCTTCCACATAGGTCTCAGGCCTGTCTGTTTCTGTAGAACATATCCTGTAAAGCGAGCTGGTACAGTACAAAAGTTGAACTGTACTGATCAAATTTATCGGCAGGTACCAGGATCTGACCCCGCAACATCGCTCCCTTTTGGATCCTAAATCTGTACCGCTAGCAACTGAGTGACTGACTCACAGCTCGGAGTTTATTTTCTTTATTATTATGTCTAAGGTACCCAGGACTTTAAGAAGGAATCAAACTTCGAAATAATATATTTATTGACTGACATTTGACAACAAGAACTTATTTACAAGTCAACTAACAGTGATCAGTGCTGGCAACTTTACAACAACATTCATACCAACATTGTAAAATTTAAACTAGTTCCTTACTCTTGCAATGCTCAATTAATTTCATATAAAACATATACAATTATGTAGGCCTAACAAATTAAATATAAGGATGTCGATATGTCAAGGGTTTGTGATAAAAGTTTGTTATAATTGGTAAATGTATGATGTTTGTTAACCATTTAGCTCAAATATTATTTTTATAGGATAAGTTATTTATTTCTTTAAAGATAAAACACATGTTTAATCATATCCTTCCAAGGATACCTAGAAAAACCACTGTAAATTAATCAATTGTATTAAATGTGGTAAAGAAACATTCTTTCAGTAAAAAAATGTAGTCCATACAATTTAACTAGTTCGGAAAAATAATAAGGAAGCAAGATGATTAATTTAAAATTACATACTGTTATTAAAGAATTTTGGTACTTAGTATTTACTTATTCAACATATAAAAAAAAAACATCATTTTTAAATTTCTCTACTATTAAATGCAAAGTTTGATACACCTAAATTCATATTAATTCATTTAGTCATTTACTTGAGCATTGCTAGAGTTACTACTCAACAGCCTCTGTAATACATTTGTACATTTTCAGCAATTAACCGAACGGCCTTATAAAATATTTACTAACTCTCTTCTATTTAATTGTGTATCACAATTAATTACAGATCCTAGAATTATTGACTTTCGCTGCGACTGAAGCAAACTCTCCAATTAAGATAATTAACAACAAATTAATTGACTTACTCTATGCAGTTATAAATGCACATACTTTCTTCTTTGTAATATCATGATACACTTACACAAGTACTTGAATTAATGGACTTAATAATATCATTTGCTAAAAAAACTTTTAAATTATTTGTGAAAAATTTTCATTGTAAAAACTATTCAGCCCGTTTTATATCGTTAACAAAAGTACAGACTAGGTCAAGACTAAAGTAGAATAAACAAATTTTTTGTGTTTAAATCCTTAAATAAAAAAAAAAATATTGACTTATAAATAAATAAAGAGATTTGAACTTCAGAAATGTCAAAAGTAGTGTAATACAATTAAGCAAAAATATGTCCTTTCTCTGGAATAAATTGACATATTCAATAGTCATTTCATCCCAAATGATAAAACTAATGTACATACTAATTTACACATTTATTAACATGCTACACACTATTTACATTATAGCATAAAGTGGATGACAAAAGAAAACAGAAGAGGCAGTTGTACCCTACAGACACCACTGTCCAAGTGTCCAAGCCTAAAGATCGACTAATATAGAGTATCGAGGAGTCTAATTTATTATTGTCAGTTTCCTGGTTCGTAAGACCGTCTCGTATCTAAGTTCTTAACATCTGTACATGAACATTCAATGGATAAGTTTGCTTAAAATTGGTATTGGAACCTGCTATCTTAATTTTTGGAAAAGTTTCCCATTGAGGGCCAAATTTATCAACGACATGATATTTATGAAAAATTAAATTAGAAAACAACTGTAATCAATCTTCTGTACTCAATCAATCTGTCAAATAATGATAACAGGTTCCAAAATAATATGCACTATAAAAAATAACATCAACCATTAATTTTTTTTATAACAATGTATAAGATGACACAACTTACAAAGATTTAAATAAAATATGTCAATATTATTTAAACGAGATATGTATACAAAGTGATATACCCTTAAAGGTAAATTATACATTAGTACTTTGGCCGCATAATACGTTTAACACTTGATATTATACTACATGTAACTAAATTGTGATATGAAGATTTTCATTGGATATGAGAATTTAGTGATATGCAGTTTAACTTCAAAAGTGCATAGAGGATAAATTGATATGGTACGTCATGATATGTGAACTAATTGTGGGTAGAGTAGGATTAAAATATAATACTTTTTAAACTTAATGATATTTAAAATACTGTGTTAATAAAACAGTACATGTATTTTTTCCACTTAGGGCCAAGAAAAATAAAACAATTAAAAAAACATCTACTATTCTAGTACATTTTAAATGCACTACTGGTACATCAAAGTGGTGTGTGCCATATTGTAATATTTAATTTTTAACAACAACAAGATTTTTAACAATTCTAAAAACATTTAGAATAAATATAGTTATTGTCAACCACTTTAGTCCATTGCAACATAATAGAGTCAGCTAACAAACCATGTTATGAAAATATAAAATGTGAAGTTTATCTTTATCATTAAACATTTTTACTTTGAACTATATTTTAGTTCCTTAATTCATTCATTGTGAAACACCAGTAAGTAAAGAGGGGGCTTCTGTTATTACAATTACCTTAATACTGGATCTAATTTTTATCCATTTGCAAACAATCTAGAAAAATCTGTGATGACAAATATATTTACAAAATTGTTTACAAAATATGTGTAAAAAAAACTTGCATGATTTACCAAAGAGGCCATGACCATTTAGTTCTTTATACAGTGGAACAACGTTAACAGCTTGTCAAGGAAATAATTTCTTTGGAGCAAACATATACTTTGGAAATTTCCCAGCTAAATTCTCTATCTCAACGGAGTAACTTTGGATTTCAAATAAACAAAAACAACGGCTTCAAATTTGTAACAAGACATGGGAAATCTATTGCTAATTATTACTAAAATTTATGTTGCAATGAACTTTTGCATTTTAAGACGAACCTATCACAAGAATATTGTCAGAATTAATTTTATATTTAGAACAACATACAAACTAACTGTGCATATAATATTAATTGCTCAATATTACAGTTAATGATTTTCAACTAATTTAAACTAGTTTATATTTTCCTTAAAGTAATAAAATAATCAAAATGTATAGCTTAACATACATGCTACATACCCAAATGAAAAAATAAATTAAACTAATAATTTGTACTTTGTTTGTAAAAAAAAGTTAACATAGAAGAAACATATGGAAAGAGACATTTAATAACGTTTTTGTTTCTCGGTTGTTTAAAAAACGTTGCATTTCCTAATGAAGACCAATACATGGCAGCCTACATATTTTCAATTTTGATTACTTCAGTTTTATTGACTAATAACTGAAATTTTGATTAAACTATTTGAATTGCCAGTCTAGTACCTTTCTAGTACGGTATAAACGCGTATTTGTCTTTGACATATTCTGAAACATTTTTTCACTGGCACAATATCTGATTTGTACAAAAATATTTCTCATTAAGAACAATTTTATCTCAATATTTTTTATAAGAGCTACAAAATATTTACCCAATCTTAAATTCTACAAATTGATATTTATATGGATATGTTGAAAGCTTTAAGATTCTCACCTAAAATCACTATAACAGTAGCAATTGCTACATTTTATTGTTTTAGGTACATATTTTTCTACTATTATTGTCATTATTGAGTCAATATGGAATGTTTTTGTCAGTTGTAAATTCTTTGAACTAAAATAGGTAATAAGTCTTTGCTTAGCCTATACGACCCGTTTCTGTCTTAAAAGTATTTATTCAGCTTAACTATCTACTACCCCTATTGTACAGCACTTTACTATAGTTTGTATAAAATGTATAAATACAAAATTTAGTCAGTGTGCTGTACATAATTTTATATCACAGTTCATACATAGTGTATGTGCTTATTTTCATAGACCAACCAATACAAAAGTATATTTAATTTACGTGTGGTTACCACATGAATTGCTCTAGAGCTTTGTTTTTATATCAAATAGAAAATAAATATTGTTTACACCATAATACTAACTTATATTATAGATCTATTTTGTTTGTCCCCCTCATAAGAATGTATGAATCTACTAGAGGATAAACCCAATCAGATTGTTTTATATTACTTTCATTTTGTCTCTTATTGTAATGTGTAGATGTAATGTAATTGTGTAATTTAATTGTAATGTGGAGCCTAAAATATGAGTTAATTATTAAATAAAACTTCTGATTTCTGAATGATGTCATCATAGGAATAACGATATCAATAAAGAAATACAAGTGAATTTAGTTGTGATGATATATGTTCAAAACTTTAATCTTAAGGTTGTAATTTATTAGTATTGTAAACATTGTAATAATACTTACAAATTTCATCCATAATGTTCCCTAAGATGGCTCAACAGGTTTTATAAACTGACATAAACATTCCAGCAGCTCTTTGAATGTACTTAGTCTGATTCATACATCAGTATAGTACAGATAAAAGTCTATAGAAGAAATACATATTATTCATCTATAAATAAAATACATTTCTATAATATTTAAAAGGATAAAACGTGCAACAGTATAAAAAGTTACAGTCATATGGAACTATTGTACTGAATTACTTTATGCGATGTGCATATAACTTTGTGCTTTTAAAACTAAAAAAAATTTGAATCACATTTAATCGAACATGGAACACATCAATGAGAAGTACTACAAGTACACTCCATAAAGATACATTTACATGTGTAACAACCACTTATCACAATAAATAAACCTTGGAGTAAAGATTTAAACTGGTATTCTAGAGGCCACTATGCGTTTCGATGATATATTTTAAACAATAATCGTCGTGAAAGTATATAAATCGTTGTAACGTGAAACTTAGTGCATGTACAGGTGTTCTTCGCTAATTTTCCAGTCCTTAAGTGTATTATTGCTCGGCGTTGAGTAATTACGGAGTGCAGAGATAGAAAATGTGCTATATTTATTGACAGACTTAACCCTAGGCACTTCTTTGTCTAACCCTCATATTGGCCATTTCCAATGGTTTCTTGGGAAAAAAGTGTTTAAATTATCATTTTATGATTTGCTTGAGTTTGAGGGTAATCATTTTTCATGAAAAGCATGAGATGGTTTTTGTATCCTTGTCAGGGATTAAGACCAGGTTAATTCAACCACATTACCATTACAAGTCCTAATAAATAGCTAACAGCAAAATGTTTCAACATGAAAAACTAGTTTCTGATGTTTTTGTTTATAAGTATTGACTACTTTGCAAACCTAATGATTGTTTTGGACTTTACTAAAACTAAAACACTAAACAAGAAAATTGATGTGTAATGTTTATAATGTTTGAAAACAACAATGAAATATCACGTACCGATTCGGTTCTTGACTAGAAACAAACCCTAAGATCCACTTATGAGTTTCACATCACATTTAAACATTTTTTAAGAGGTTATTCTCTTTTAACCTTGCATTTGCCTGTCCACATACACAATGGATATGTGCGAGGAACGAAACCAGCAAAGCAAGGGGTGAGCCGATACACAACAAGGGTGAAGTGTATTGATAAAAAGTAGTGCAGGTTCCAGGATCCGAACCCACGACATCGCTGCCTTGGGCCAGTCCGTGGCGCTGCTAACTGAGCCACCGACTCGCCAATTTGTAGTCGAGTAACATGTTAAAATGTAATTAAATGACAAATGAAGAATAAAGAAATCGTTTGAAATGGCCCTCGCTATAACCTTAGTGCCACTTCATTTTTTACATTGACGATCAACATTATTAAACACTTACTAATTACTTTTCAATAGGCTATTACATTGTGAGACACACTTTACCCCTGCAAGCAAAATATTTTGGAAAATTGAAAACTCTTTTTATTTTTATTAGGCCGGATGTAATATGTGGATGGGATGGTGTAAAGGCAAGTATCTCGTTAAATATTTCCTTAATGTTATTTACACATTTTTTATTAGTCAGAAACTAAGTACTTCTGGTTAAGTTATTATGTGTCTAAGTTATTGACCTCTAAGTAACAACACTCCTTACTTAAGGGTTTGTGACAGGATGCAGACAATACCGTAAGCTTATCTTAAAAGCGGTTTGATGAAACTAGAATCAAAACTCCTAAGACTGGAATGCACTGGATTTCATTCTTGATTATCTTATTGCAAAACGTTCAGAGCAGTTTCCAGCTATTTGGTTTGTTTACTACTAATGTATGATATGTCAAGAAGGGGTGTAATTCAAAATCTATAAATTCTCTATAATTTTTAAAAATATGTGTTTACGCCACACTAAACTATTTTGAAAAACTTCCCATGCAAGGATTTAGTCCAGAAAACAGCTATTTGCCGCCAGCTTAATCAAATGGGGGTTCATTGCGTACTACTGTACTGTAATGAGTTTTACCGGACACCAATCAGCTGATTATACTGCATATTTGGGTGACAACGAGTGGTTATAAACAAAAACATAACCTCTCTTAAAGGTTATGACTAGTGATTTTTAGTCCTTTAGTTGGTGGTAATGTGTAAGGTTTTGTACAGATTTAGTAGTATGGCGTAAACTATCGTACGTAACTTGTCCAAAATGTGTTAACCGGACTCGTATGGCAATCCCGTACTCGACTTCATCTCGCACGGGAACGACCACACTCGTCCGGTAAACACTTATTTTCAGGACTATTAACGTAATATACTATTACATCACTCTGATTATGAAAATAACTCATTTCCGTACAGCTGAGCTATCCAAAAATCATTGATATCCAATCTGGCAAAACATATGATTTTGCCAGTCTTAAACACTAATTAATTATCCTTGCCCAAACAAACAAAATGTCCGTTTAGCTCAAAGAAGAGCACTAATTTTATGCATTATTTTATTACGAGAAATATTTTTTAAACAGCTGACTTTTAAATAAATCGTAAACCTATGCTATGACAGATTTAAACAGAATTACTAGACAATGGAATAATATGAAAAATATTGTTCACTACTTGTCATGTAAAATTCATTCCGGGGCTCAATAGTTGTTTACGCACTTGGCTTTGCCTCGCTGGTAAACCACTATCTTTCCCCAAAATGGGTCACTTTCAGGACTAGTAGTGAAATAATCGAAATATAAACTGTAAATATTAGTTGGAAACAATTTGGTGGAATGACGTGTAAAAGAACTACTTTAATAATAGTTTAACGTCTTGTTGAAAGTTCCTATTTTTTCCTTATAGTATGGAGTTTTTTCCAAATCAAACTATTGACCATTTTACCAATAGTGTAAAAGGTCAAGTAATCAAATATTATGTTCCATTGCTTTGTAAAATTTGTTTAATTATTGCTGCAATTCAATAAAAAAAACTTGTAAACCGGTTTAAGAAAATAATATTGGCGCAACCCTCTGTCACAAACCCAACTATTATTACAGTTAACCTATTCTTACAGAAGGCAAGAGAGAAGCATACTTATGCTTTCAACAAGCATACCTGATCTCAGTATTGTCTGGACTTTCTACAACAATATTTTACAGGAGGATCTAAAAGCCAACCTACATTAACAAATTAGCATCTCAAGGTCGTCTGACTCATGATTACATCAATGTGGATTATTTTATTGCAAACTTGAATGGCATGAATACACATTGATCGTAAAACTCACGGAACATCCTTGAAATGATCTACAATGAACTTTTTGGACGGGGAGGATTATAGTTATGTTATCAATATATTACTTATCATTGTCAATGTATAGCTGTTTTAAATTTTAAATTGTTGATATACGGTACATAATATTTTTCCCAAAGTGTGTAAGATATTGAAAGGACAGAGTGAAAAATCACAATGATGTTTTCAGTAAAAATAATATTTTTTAGAGAATTAATCAGAGACTTGTGGAAAATAAAATAAACACTCATAATCTTATAGGGTGGTTTAAAGACAATGAAATACCATTACGTTACATGGACAAGCCTGTGGCTACTGTTGGGATAAGATAACGCAAGTCGTCTGTCTGAAACAGCCGTGTTTGGCTTATCATCTGAAAATTAACCCTGAACTACCAATATTGAAAAGTTTTTTCCAGACTTTGATTTGGAAATAATAAATGTTTTCCTAACAGCTAAATGTAAACAAACAAGAAACTGAAAAAATATATCATTTAAAAACTTGTGGAACATCAATATCACTTTTCTCTCTGACCTTTCCGACTCAATCAGGTTATTTAAGGCCTACGTTACAGTGGATGAAGCATTGTTGATCATTTCTGTCACTCTTAGCACCATTGACATGACCATGGGATGCAGTTGCGGAGACAGACTAAGACTCGTCGTCGTCATCATCGTCTGACGCACCCGTTGGGCAACACAACCCTTCCGTCCCATCCTCGCGAATGCAGAATAATAAAGTCTCCGCTGCGGTAACTCGGTGTTCCACGATCCCGTGGAATTCTTTCAAGTCTTGTGCTGGAAACCAGGCTTTCTCGTTGTCGTCTATTATTACTATCCCTAAAGCTCTGGAACAGTCAAGATTTGTTTAGTTGGCATTATGTATAAAGTAGACTATAGATAAAAAAAGACAGCAGTCTCATGTTAAAAATATGGCTAGTTTTAGAGTGGAAATGGAAGTAGTTGAATTGAGCCAACGACAGAGTTTCTGATTTCAATTAAACTATTTCTGTTAAATACAACAACTTTTTGACCAAGGAAAACTGAAAATACACCTCTACCGTAATTTACATAATCTTTTTCAGTCACATCAGCCACCATATTATCAAAAAGGGGAAAAATGATCATTTTGACACTGGTACACTACGTTATACTGGCTCATTCAGGTACGTTTTATTTTAAATAGTAATCGGCTCCAGCTGATCCAAGTAGATGGTATGTCTACTTCAGTTTCCAAAGGTCAATGGTCCACAAATATTTGAACATCAGAAAGCTTATGAAATGTACAAAAAATCCAAATAAGGTTTTATGTCCATATTTTAATTCTTAGATTAAAAATACAACATTTTTTTGTCCTCAACAATTATTGCTTGAGCCCGAAATTGTTTTTCACATTACTTCAGGCTAGACCTAGGGGTTGCGGTATTATCACTTATTTTTTTAAAATCCATTGGTGACTACATATTGCAAAAATTTCATGATGGTTAGGTTATAAGAAATTCTTTTGACATTCAAACGCAGTTAGAGTAGAGGGACAAACAATGAAAGTACAAGAATTGCTACAAAAATGGTTAATCACACTCTGAATGCCCCAATGTTTGTACTGACCTACAGATGGCGACTCCCGGGATCCACAGCACAGCTGCCAACACAAGACATCCGATAAGCAGCAGCGCCCACACTGGCCACTCCCGTGTCTCCGTTACACCCTTGCTGGCGACCCACGCGGGGTACCTAGCAAACCAACAGTCATAAACTTCCTTATACATGAAGTGACTGAAGCACAATAAAATGTTGAACATAAATAAAAAAATAAGGTTATTACTACCGGTACCCACGGTGGAAGGAAAAAAACGTAGGTGTGATATTCCCGTCATATGCTGACGTCACCCAGATTGCAAACGCCATTTCACTATTCAGAAAAACTATAAAAACAATAACAAGCAAATAAAAAAATACTACTAAAAAATATACTAGGCTATATGACATTTACAAATCAGGTGATTTTCTGTTTACAATCTGGGTGCCGTTTAAAGGGCAACTGGGCATTAATCCATGAATGAAGGATGAGTGTAGAATGGAGTGAAGGATGAGTAGTGAATGGTTTGTCACTAGCTATGATCAGCTGTGTTTTATGTGTCTAGGACCATTTATCAAAAGTCCAATATAACTGAGCCCAGTTGCAAACCATAAAATAATTGCTTACTTTTCCCAGATAATTGAATATAATTTCTAAGCACACAGACACTAAACAGTATAAAATTTTTTTTGATGAGTATAATTTTTAAAATATATTTTTGTGTTTTATTTTACTTATTGTCATATTTATTGATTATGGAATGTCCAAGACAGAAGCGTGACAGCTTTGGCAACTTTGAACACCATTAATTGTACCCTACTTGATTTTTTGTAAAGCAATTTTCACAATGGGAATTATTAAGCCTATGTGCACTTTGAAGGCATAAGGGAGTGAAAATTTAAAAACGTACGTTTTCAGGAAAAGCACTTTGCAAATTTTTTTCCCCTTTTTTCAAAACTTTTATTATTATTTTTATTTCATTAACATTTGAAGTTTCATAAAATGTCAATGGTAACGCAATATCTTTGGTACTTTTTTTTTAAAAGAGCATCTTTAGTGGAAAAACACAAAATCCTGTCACGACCATAACAGACGTTTAAATGAATATTAAAAATAGTTAATATTATTTTTATAACTATGTTTTGCTATAAACTAATTTACTTTTATGACCATTATACATTAAAAAGGTCACTGAGCTTTTGGTATATTTGGTCTTTCTAGAAAAAAATAAAAAAACTCAAAAAATTGAAAAAAAGCCAATAAAATCTTTCTAAGTTTGTATAACTCCGAAAAAACTTACCTGAGACCTGAAAAATCGCTATGTTTGTATAAAGGTGTGCTTCTTTTGTGTATAAAACATTGAAATATGACGATATTTTAACTTTTGAAATTTTTATGATAGAAATCATAAACGTGATGGTCAGGGACAAGCGGTACGGTCGTGAATTTTCTGAAATAATCTAAATCTTTCTAAACAATCCTTCAATTATACTGTTAGTTATAATAAAAATAAGTGTTTCAATTGAACTAAACTGTTCAAATTACAATTATATTAAAGTTATTGTCACGACCAAACACACTATAATCCATAAGGCTGGATTGGTCGTGAAAAAACCCGCGATGGTCGTGAAACTTTGGTCGTGAAATTATGTGTTATTTGGCTCTGTTCTGGCGGTAGCCCTGCACCTCATGTTCGAGGATACAAAGTGAACTTCTAGGTTAATCTAGCAATTGAAATATCTTATAAACAAAAATTAACACCATGTCTACTTCATCGAATGACTACTTACGGTCATGGACACACCAAAATTACAAAAAACACAATCTTTCCTTTATTAATCTTGTAATTCCTAATTTCAACTCGAAACGACCGGCACTACAATCCTGACGTACACCCCGAACTATAGTCTCTAAAACCAACTGACTCCATCGACGCCAGGCTTGCCACTGTCGTGCTTCAAAGTTGAAAATTTTTCCCAAATGGTCGTGACGCCAAATCGAGGGACAGACTTATTTTGTCATGGTAGTCAGTTTGCAATGACAATAAAATTATAATATGCTCCTTTTTTGTAAGTTTAATAACCATTGATGACAAAAAAATATGGCTTTATATATTTCGGCATGAATAATTAGTCTAACAACAGCGTGAAAGTTGGAAAATGTACCCTAGGGACACGTCATGGTCGTGAATTTCGAGACTTTAAAAATACGAAAAAAATACCTAGAACCTATTTAAAACCAAATAAATGTGTGTAACATGTTGCCCCCGTCCCAAAAAATATTAAAACACATAATAATAAACTACATATTCAGTATCTACGAAGTAAAAGGCCAGGGACATGAAAACGTACGTTTTTAAATTTTCACTCAAGGAGCAACAATTGATTGCATGGCAAAACGTAGGGAACAATTAAAGGGACCAAACAAATTATTTAGTTAAAAATAGCATCAGAAAAGGTGCTAATGACCAAAGTGCACACAAGCACTGTTGACCTAAAATTTTCCTTGTTCTTTGTTTTTAGCGATGATTTAGTAGTAAAGATGTTGGTTCATTTGGAACCATAATCAAACAGGAATTCATATATTTGAAAAAAAATATCGCTATACAGACAAACTTAATACTGTATTGCTGTATGGAATTTTCTTACACTAAACCTATAAGACATTAATTTAAGTTTAGATATTAACTGAGAGGTTGATTAACTTTAAACTTAACATCAGATACATCACAAATATTTTGATTCCCTAAGAAGCAGGGATGGACGGGTCCCGAAATTTCGGGAATTTTTCGGGAAAAAAATATTCCCGATTATCGGGACGGGATTACATTTGACTCGGGAATTTTTCGGGACGGGATTTGGTCCGATCGGCGATTTTTCCGCTTCGCGAGTGCCGATAACGCCGTTATTGCGAGCGATAGGTCCGCGAACGCAGGAGACGAAGTCATACCGACGATCGCGCCGTGACCGCGGAGTACTACCGACGATCGCGCCGTGACCGGGAGTCATGACGACGATCGCGCCGTGACCGCGAGTCATGACGACGATCGCGCCGTGACCGCGAGTCATGACGACGATCGCGCCGTGACCGCGGAGTCAAGCTGACGATCGAGCCGTGACCGCGAGTCATACCGACGATCGAGCCGTGATCGCGAGTCATATCGACGATCTCGCCGTGACCGCGAGTCATACCGACGATAACCCCGTGACCGCGGAGTCATACCGACGATCGCGCCGTGACCGCGAGTCATACCGACGATCGCGCCATGACCGCGAGTCATGATGACGATCGCGCTGTGACCGCGAGTCATACCGACGATCGCGCCGTGACCGCGAGTCATACCGACGATCGCGCCGTGACCGCGAGTCATGATGACGATCGCGCTGTGACCGCGAGTCATACCGACGATCGCGCCGTGATCGCGAGTCATGACGACGATCTCGCCGTGACCGTGAGTCATACAGACGATCACCCCGTGACCCGCGAGTCACAGGTTACTATAGGTACCTGTAAATTGTTACCCATTTTTTGGTTTTTATAGATCAGTGCCACAAATGGTAAAAATTGATTTCGTATGTCTTTTTTTGGTAACTGCAATACAGTACTTTCTTATTATGTACAGAAAAAAATCCCGTCCCGTCCCGTCCCGAACTAAAAATTCAATCCCGTCCATCCCTACTAAGAAGTCTGTAAACAAGCTGCAAATTAAGAAATTTGTTTTATAATGTCTTTTGGAATAAGCAACTTAAAATCTAGTTAACTATACCATTTTGCTCAAGGATGCATAGATGGTATAGAGCAGATGTGAATAATAATGTGTCAACAATGAAAACATATGATTAAGTAAGTTATACCCGCTGCCGTTGACTATGATTTCCGTGATGCTGGCTATGAGGATCAGCAGCATAGCCAAGGGCGAGAGATACTTCCAGCACAACAACCAGTACCAGCCTGGCCGAGTCCCTGTCATCAGTTCTATGTCATCAGCAAACCTACAACATCATCAGGGAATACTCTAGACTCATCAATGTTGTTAGTAAAATCAAAATAAATTTATAATATTCATTGTGATCTTGTTCAAGGAAAGTGTTAAAACACTTTGATATAATGAAGTATTCAGCGGTTTAATTCACTTCTATCCTCTGCAGTGTGCTAGCTGTCCTCTGGGGATAAAACTTTAAAAAGTCTCAAAAACCTTATTGAAAAGTTGTTTACGACTAGGAATTCCTAAGCCAATTTCTAAACTTATAAACATAGCGATTACAGTTGTATATTTTTCTTCAGTAGAAGAGGAAAGTTAAAAAGGCAAGTGTTAAAAATAAACTGAAAAATAAACTTGGCAATATTTTATAAAAGAGAGATATATGCGTTGTTTAAACCCGCATAGTTATATAAAATAACCTACAAAAAAACATCATAATACATTTACTTATTACCGGTATTTCATTTAACATTTTTACTAAACCGAGAAAACAGAGTAACAATATATATGATTATCTTATCTTTCACCTTTGAACACTTTACATGTTTTATGATTAAATTTACCTCTTGAGGCCATAAACGTATGAAACAGCTATACACTCAAAGAAGGCAATTATCAGAAGTGGAAAGTTGCCACTGAAGTTGTCGAAGAGGATGAAGACGTAATTTCCAGCACCGTGGGCAAAACTCATTGATATAACACAGCATATCAAACACATCACCCCTGAAAAAGTGAGAGAAAAAAGGGAATCAGAGTAATATTTATGGTTTACATTCCTTATATTCATTGAAGTCAATATGGATTTTCTAAGTATTGCCATAGGTTAAACATACTCTCTTTTACAGTTAAACTACTTAGGATTTCCCCTATTCCCCCAACTTACCATGCCCTGACTTTAACTATTGCAACTTCCTGTTTGTAGCCTTGTTCCTGAAGTTAAGGAAACATTTAAAGGAATCAATAAAACTAGACTTACCTGTTAATATTTCTTTCCTGAGGTTGGGAAACAGCTTCATGTCTACTATAGAAGTGACAACGCCTTCTAGAGTTCCAAATTGCGAGTCGATTCCCAGAGTGAACAGCATGAGGAAGAACAGAACCGACCAGAACTGAGCTCCTGGAAACTGGTTGATGGCTTCGGTAAAGATGATGAAAGCCAATCCTGTGCCGGCAGCTGACTGAAATCAGAAGTGAAACACACAAATGATCACTGTTGTGCTTTTACAAAAATAAAGTTTGAGAGTCTGTTTTAAATAAACCAACCAGTGTTTTAAATTGAAATTAGCTCTTTATTGGGTTTTCCCAAACAGTTGAATGGAATAAAAATTCATTGGGTGAAACTTGCAGTACCGTAAAGTTTAATTGTTTTTATGAATGTATGAAGTTTTTATGAATATATATCTCTGATCTCTGGTTGGTAGTAATGATCTATCCTCAACTCCCTTTTTCAAAACTATAACACTAAATTTGAATTTGTATTTGATTTACAATACCTTCAAATCAAAGGTTTACTGGTTCAATTCTAAAAAGAATAGATTCTACAATTAGTTGCAATTTGTCACCAAGCCAATAATGAATGATGCTTAGTTGTCAACATCAGATAAACATTATACAGTGAATCAGAGCATGGACAGTTGCAAGAGAAATATGTTTAAAATGCCACTAGTGTCAATTAAAACAATATACATCCAAACAAAGAAATAAGTGGCTTTAATGTAAGTATAGGATCACTGATGGTATGGACCGTTTTTAAGGCATTTGAAATAAACTAGTGTCCCTGTTGCTCGTATTCGAGCAATTGCTAAGTATTATTGGCGTTAACAAATAACAGTCATAAGTTAAATTTCTGATGACTTTAATAGATTCGACTCAAAGATTATGGAAATACTCAAGATGTACAACAGATCGATATAATCAACATTTCTTGTAAATATCTTTAATTTTTCATTTTTTAAAAGCTTATCTTGTTTTTTAGTGTTTTCTACAAATAGCCTTACTCATAGCCGCATTAGGTTGTCCATAATTACATAACGATTATAAATTTTAAAAAAAACATTATTTCTATTTCCTTGGTGGTGTTCTATGACTTGTCTATGTTTCCACAGTTTGCAAATCGGCTTTTTCAATGATTACTAAGAAATGCAGCACAGTGTTAATTCAGTTCTCTTTTTAGTATATCAATTTATCCAGGCTCTCTAGCTTTTCTTGTTTTTTTCCATTGTAATATTTACGCCAACCCAAATTCAAATAGTAAATATTTCATTTCAATCAAGTCAGTAAATGTTTGTAGCAAACTGTTAAATTAGGAAACTTATTGACTGTTTACAATTAACATATTATTCTTCTCGCTTTTAATTTCTGACAACAGCTGCAGTTTCATAACAATTTTTGTTTCCTATGTTAATCTTATGGAGAAATGCGAAACTTTAAAGGGCCCCAGGGCCTCACTCTCTGATTATTTCCCTAAAAAGAAAGTTTCCTGCACAACTTCAAGTTACGCTCTTTCCAATGACACCAAAAACATGTCAATCGGTTCAGTAGTTTCGGAGGAGTAATTGTCACAAAAAAACTGCTTGCGTATTAAATAAGTATAGATATAGATGCTCTTCCTAGCTCCTATAATATTAATACTGCCTGTTGTATTTATTTATAGGAATACATTTTTACAACAAAACTGGCTAACATTGCAACTTGTGTTTCTAGAATCTTTGTTCTATTCGACTCACACTGTCCAGCTCTTTCTCCAAGTCGCACTCTGGCAAGGGTGGCATTGTTGTGACGACGTCGCCCATCAATGCGACAGCCGAGCCCTCAGTCGGCAGCCGGGATAGGTCGACGTTTGTGTGACCGAACGTCGCAAAGATTGTTGCATTCCTCTCCTCCAGACAGCGCTCATAGTTCAGCGTAGCCTTGAATCCTGAGAACATTGTTAGATATCTACACATATTCAATCATGGAAGTTCAAGGTATTTAATTTACACTGTTCACTATATTATATTTACGATTCACAATATGTGACGTAAGGTCCCATTCTATTTTATAATAATTTCACCCCTACAAGCCAAAACAAATAGGATATCATTTATTTCTTACAATCTTTTCACAATACAACCTAAAGTACCCTACTGGTGAAGAATCAGCATATACTCACCGATGACAGAGAAGACGACGATGCCAGCAAACATAGATGTGAAGCAGTTAGTCATAGACACCATTATTGCATCTCTGTAGCAGTTGTTGTTGACAGGGTTGTAAGACGAGAAAGCTATCAAACCTCCAAACGCAAGACCGAGTGAGAAGAAAATCTGCGTCCCGGCCTCCAACCATACCACGGGGTCTGAGAGGGTGTACCACTGTTATACATGGGAGATTAGAACTGTTTACATGGAAATACACACCTACATTATAATACTAGAATATAATGATACCTACATTGTAGGTGTGTGTAATCATTTGATTAGTTGAGGATGGACGGATTATCTGTCCAATAGGTACATATAGAGCAACTAATACATAACACTCAAACTAAGTTGCACAGTCAATAAGTGATGCTTTCCTGGAGAACTGCTTGGTTAGCATAATAGATATGAGGGAACCACGTCAACTGCTTATGTGTTATTTATTTATAATTATTTGTTGTTTTCCACATTTAATGACACACTGTACCGTATTTGGTATTCTAAACTTATTATAACAACTGACCATGAAAATCACGAAAAACATGTGATCAAAAATATTTATGTTTTATTATTCAAGTGTTAATAAAACTCAGATTATACGTATTTGAATAGATGTTGCTGCTTTAAAGCACTGGAATAAAATGGGTTCAGGATTTAACCATGATGATGACCAAGGGTCAAATAACTACGATACTAACACATTATGTGTAGAATGGAATGAGATGCCTTGAGCAGCTTTGCCACTGACTGTGACCACCTGTTTATTTAGGTGGGATCATTTATCAAAATGCAGTATGATGAAGAACAACTACATTCAGTTTAGATAATAAGGCAGCTATTTATTTATCGAATGAATTAGTTGGTATCCTACAACACCTCCATTTGGTCCTACTAGGCGATCATTATAACCACTCTTCAGAAAAACAGCTTTAGCTTAGAAATAGCTGGTCTCAGTCAGCAACAGCTACACAAGGCAATTTACCTTGTTAAACTCATATTTTGGGGAAATATGCTCCTTATCATCTCCAGCTTAGTTTGTAATTTGGTATTAACAATTAAACTTGAGTTTAAGTAAAATAACTTAGCACTATGATTACCAAGGGCCAATAAATTCTTCGACTTAGATAGAGCCGGGTTTTCCTAGACGCGGAAGAGGTGCGCGGAGAGCGGAGGCCGGAGAGTGAAAAAGCGAGTAACATGGCATTCCGCTCCGTTTCTAGGAAAGCAGTAACAATAAGTTACCTAAGACAAGAGGAGTCTGCTCTCTGTGTTCCTCTCTCCGCGCTCCACTTCCATGCCTAGGAAAACCCAGCTTAATAGGCTTTTAACATCATTGTCGTGTTGTTACAAAAACTTAATTATTATAAGCTAAACAAGTGTTCTATGAAGATGATGACTTAAAATTAAGTTACCTTTGGAGTAAATAAATGTCGTAACCCATCAGACATTCCGTGTAATGTTACACCCCGGAAGAAAAATATTATCAGCACAATGTAGGGGAAAGTTGCTGTTACATAAACAACCTGAAATGAAAAGTAAAATTGAGACAAGTTAAACATGTGAGTACCACAAGGTATAAGAGTTCATATTATAAAGGCTATCTTGAATATGATTTTGAACAAAATATATTGAACACTTAATTGTTGCTTATAAATTTGATTGAGTACCTACTGCAGTTTTTGAAATCTGAAGGCTGTTTTGTATTAGTGCTTTGTGCCAGGCATGAGTTAGAGTGTGCTAATATCAACTAAGTGTTTTCTCTTGTGATTGGGTAAATATAACCGCAAGTGTAGATACTGTATAACTCATTAGCCATATACCATACTACTAGAACATGCAACATCAACAAATATGTATAACATTTCGATTGATATTAAAAAATTATAGTGTCTAAGTCCAAGTTGTTTAAACAACAAGAAGTAAATAGCAGACATACATATCCTAGACACAAACATACCTTTAAATGTCCAAATCACATGAGAAACAACATGACAACAACATGAGAAAGATAAAACAAAAATAGCAACAATTTTTTTCCATGTTTGAAGAGAAAAGATCTATCAGAAACAGATTATTTTAACTGCAACAGACAAACTTACCTTGCCTGAAGAAGCGATTCCTTTGATCATGCACATGTAGACAAGAATCCAAGCTATGACAAGAGCAAATGCTATCTTCCAGTTGAAGGCCCGAGGATGGTCTATATCCTCCGAGACCATGAGTGTTGTGCGATACCAGAAATACTGGGTCGGTGTGCTTGCCTGTAAGAAATATTAAGCTTTTTACATTAGAAGTTAGTATAGCTCGTCAGTTGAGTGGATATAGTGCTTGTCTAGAAATGAATAAGTTGACAGATGATCCTGAGAAGAGTCAACATATTTTTATTGGCTTGAAACTGGGACTAAGTAGAAAAGGACCTAAGGAGACTGGGAAGGAAGGAAGAGGCGAGAGAAAGAGATGGAGGCATTTTGTTGGGAAGGCCAAAAGTACCTCTTTGGGGTACAGTTCGAGCAAAGTTTCTGTGCGCATCCAGATCTGATTGGGTCTAGGTGAGGGGGTTGGCGGGGGTACTTTTGTGAAAACATTTGTTTTTTGCTACTCACTCACCCCTACCCCTAGCACTGTCAATAGCTGGTTCCCGTATTTTTTAATTTGGCTAGTAGCGACCCATCCACACGCACAGAAATTTTGGCCGATGGGTACCAGTGGCCATCACAGCACTAAATATGTCAAAAAAATTAAAACGATGCAGAAAAGCAATACATTAACAAAGCAAATATTTAGGTACAAAAATGTTTAAACTAGCAATTTTGTACCTACATTTTTAAAAATGTCCGGATCCCCTTTACTGGAGGTTATTCCGTACCCCTAGTCACCTGTCAATGGGATTTCAATAAATGACCCTGATAAAATAACCTGCAGATCTTTTTCAGCAACAAAGCTGTTATCTAATTCAACACTCACTTTGCACCCTGGTGTTTTAGCGTCAATCTAATCTAGTCTAAAAGGCTTCAAACAACACTTTAGCATTTATCTTTTAAGTCATTCATCTTTAAATCAATCCACGTTCCTTTTGGCTCCAAGGAAACATGTTTGTCAATTTTTGTGATCTAGCTTCATTGCACAGCTTATTTCACAACTACTAGTCGACTACAGGTGATACAATAAGATTGGAAATAACTCCTTCGTCTACATTCTTATTTGTAAAGAATATTATTATTGTTATTATTGGAGGACCGTTTGAGAAAATTTGTTTCAAAATTGTATTTGGATGTTATGTTAGTAAATTAAGCTAATTGATGTGAGTCTATACTTATCTATAATATTTCCGTTTGTTTTGACAAATGAACTATGATTTTTTTTACTTCAACGGTATCAATTCATCAAGTAAAACTGTAGAAAAGTTACTTACCACACATTCAGGCTCAGGAAGATACGTTCCGTTTTCAAAATATTTGTTCGGACATTCCGACCAAGGCAATTCAGATTGGAAACTCTGGAATAGTAAAAAAATATTATCAACATGAATTTTTAAAATAACACTTGATTACATTAAAATGGGGAAGATTTTTAATAGTATGGTAAGCAGTCTTATTGACTAATAAACCATACATAAACCCAATTTTGGTTCATAATCATAAGTATATACAGTTTTTATAAACGATAATGTAACTAAAAAATATAAAACTTTATTGAAATTCATACTTGCAAATATATGTTTTTTTTCAGAATTTATAGAAATTCTATAGTAGGCCTAAGTCAGCTGAAAATATTTGATTAGACGTAATATGTAATCACAATATTTTCATTCACTGCAAAAAGTGTTCTAAACAGCTATTACCAGGGGTGCCCAGAGAGGGGTACTGTGGCGCGTTTGCGCCACAGGAATTTTTGGGGGGGGGACTTATTTTGAGATTTTTGGGGGGGATATTTTTTTGCTAGCTGTCATAATGAATGTATAATTTTGTATAAGCAGCCCGAAAAGTGTTTCTAAGTAGCTACCAACAACATTTTGCCGTTCGTAATTAAGATAGCTTCTAAGAATGGTAAAAACGGACCTTTCCAGACAATCCTTAATATACCAGTGTCGAATTTTACTTGCTACATATGTTTTGGTGGTTCTTTAACTCCACCATCGTCAGGATTTAAAAAAGATCCACTTCTGGAGGTGTCGTCAGAATACGACAAACATTTAATACAAAACCCGAAACGATTACAGATAGGCCTGTCAATTCGTACATTGCCGTCGGTAGGACTGGAAGTAAGTAAAGCCGCGTTTACACCGGAGTTAGCAACACGTGTTGCTAACATTTGTTAATAACATTTAAGAAAACACCTCTAAATTTGTTGGTAACATTTCATGTTATCAACAAAAATACCGTGTTAGCAACAGAAATTTTGTTACCCACCGAGTGTCGGTAAAATCTGGTAACATCCTTTGATGTTTTCAAATGTTAATAACATTTGTTAGCAACAAATGTTACCGAGCGCTTTGGATGTTAGCAACATTTACCCCCTCCCCTGCGCCGCCTCACAGGTCCTAGTTCAGCAGACGAGCTAGGCGAGTTGTGAGGCTGTTTACCTAAATTCCTAGTATTTTTGTGCACTGTGTTCAGCAATGGAGGAGGTGTTGAGTGAAGTAGATTGGGGTAAGGAGGCGGTGATAAAACTAATAGACCTATATCGCGAGTACTACGTCTTGTGGGACCAAACGTGTGCGGAGTTCAAAGACCGGAACGAGAAAAACAAAGCGTGGACAGAAATTTCATTGGCAATGAAATTATCAAAGGCATTCGGTTGTTTGTGCCAACAGATATAGAAGTGTAGCCTACCCATTTTTTGACTTGGTCTATCCAGCAAGAGCTATTCAATTACGTCAAGAGAGTAAGTAACAATACTAAATTACCGGTGTGAAGGTTGATATTTATTTACTAATTATATCGCATTTTTACTACAATATACAACGGTGCGGCGCGGCGTTGGCGGGAATGGCAAGTTGGTAACATTTTAAAGTCTCCAAACGGAATGATAATAACATTTTTTTTGATAACTTTTGTTATCAACTTGTGTTGCTAACAAAAATTTTAGTAACATTTGTTGGTAACTCCGGTGTAAACGCGGCTTAAAGTAAACTGAATCAGGTTCAGGTTATGACGGACCGACGTGGTCTCTGGATTGTCGTCTGCGTTTTCAACAGCTGATATTGGACTATTGTAGTGACTGAGAAGAGTATTGAACATATAATGGGATTCATAATTAATTGAGTGTAATTGATAGGCCTATCTGTTATCGTTTCGTGTTTTGTGTACAAACGGATTGTCTGACAAGATGCGTTTCTACCATTATTAGTCATAAAAGACAATCCTGGGGCTATCAAAATTAATTATAAGATTACTTCGTCACAAAAACCTTTTGTACTGGTGGCAATTATTAAGAGATACTGTGGGTATTTTGCCCGGCGATTTTTGTAGAAGGCAGCCTGGGAGTAGCGAGCATAACAAGTCTGTCTTATTTCGTGACTCTGCCTATAACGTTGAAACAATATACTTTTTGGTTGGTTAGTCTATGGTATTATTAATCCCCTTAAGTTGTTTGAATTTTTAAGCCCTGTAAAAATTAACGCCACCTATTATTGTACAGTTACATAGTACTGTGTTGGAGTAGAGTAATTCACCAAGTAGGCCTATATTGTTGTACGTTTTGAAGACGTTGTCTATTGCTTGCAATACTGAGCACACATATTGGCTGACAATACAGATTCTGAATTGTAAATTGAAAAACTTCTAATTAGTCCATTAGTTAGATTTAATGATGTATTGTTAAATGACGTTTCATATTAAACATTTAATTTTGATTATCAGCAAGTTTGTTTTTCGTACCTCAAGTTTACTAAATACTTTAAATGCTTGTTTTATGAGGTAAAGGAAAAATTGTCAGATAAATTGGAAAGGGGAGGGTAGGTTTAAATAGACGGCAGCATAAATTGGGGGGCCTACTCCTTTGGCTTGGGGGGGGATTGCGCCTCTGGGTTTGGGGGGGATGGGCACCTCTGGCTATTACTACTGTATAACCATTGACTTTGGCTTTATGGAACAGCTCATGGAGCCAATTTTATTGTTAATCATGAAATTAACCCTAAAATAATATAAACAAAATGGGATGAGAAGAATATTTTTTGTTTGTTAGTATATGATGAGATCCAACTTGATTAACAAAAGCGCCAATCGAGTGCGTACATAATCCCTACAATTCGCAAATTCAGTAACAGCCTTGTGTTGATATCGTTGCATTAAACTTATTGATGGATGTATACTGATGAAACATCCATGAAGTTTTTGTGTATCTATGTTGTTAAAACGTCTCAATTATCCTCTCTCTAGTATGTGTTATCTATCATTATGCCATTAACTCTTGAATCTTACTTTAGTCTATATTACCTTTAATGTGAAACCCAAACATGTAAGTGTTAAGTGAGCATTGCGTTGTGATAGTTGCATTTGAAACACTGACTACACTACACTGAGAATAAGTTAAGAGAATTATCATAGGCCTAGGCCAATCTAAAAGAAGTTTATATTTGTCATAATAGCAAACCATACCTGGACAAAATAAAAGAGGCACCACGCAATAATGGTGTTATAGTAGAGAGCAACGTTGAATGAAACCACAGCACTGCTGATACCAATCCCTGCGAGATACGGCGATACCTGGAAAAACCATCAATGAAAGTTTTATAGAAAAATGATTTTTAAATTTGTAATCACTATAGATAATTAATGAACACTTGGATGAAATTTAATAATGTTACCCATAGTTTCATGAACTTTTTAATTAAGTTACCTTTTATTTTGTAATTGCCTTGTGTTCGATTTATTTACTGATGTGCATTTTGCCACTGAGTGATCTTATCTTCAGAGTTACCTACTCTAAAATATAAAATTACATTTTAATGTACTATCATAGACCAACGCAAGTAGACTTCCCATCTCATTTCAAATTTTAAATCTCGTTTTTCGAGTCTAGTTTCATGATGGTGACACTGATGAGTGTTGACAAAATTTTTTTATGATTAGATCATGTGTTTGGTTAAACGAGGTTTTATGACTGAAATAACAAGAAACAAATTGAGAACAAAAAATGACCTCTACAGTGCACCAGACGGAACTAAAGATCACATTTTCTTCAGCTGATCCATAAGGATGAGAAATCTACTAAGGGAGTGTGTTTTATGTCTACTATTTACAAGTGTTTGTGAGTCACAATGTTTTATCAGATTGCTAGGATTACATAGTACAGTAGTGCGATAGTGGCGGGCACTGGTCGAGGTTCAGTTCCATCCCAATCACATAAGACTGGATATCTTTTCCTCGTAGATTAATATACTGGTTTGACCCATAAGGTTTACCTTTATCAGATAGCGAAAAGCCATTCATGATTGGATGGATTTGAACCCGAAACTTCTGACATCAAAGGTATCAACCAGTAGACTAGATTGCACCCCAATCATTTTTCATTAGGGGTATTTTTTAATTGCTGAGTGGTCAACAATACTATTAAGGTACACAAATAAACAATAAACAAAAACAATAATTACGGTAACCGTATTTAATGAAATGTTAGCAATCACCTGATTCCAGACTCCTATAGCTCCTTTGCGCAATCTCTGACCAATCGCCAGCTCTAGATAGAAGATTGGAATACCTTCGATACACAGCATCACAAAGTAAGGAATCAGGAATGCACCTGTTAGAAAGATAATGAGTTAATTACTGTGACAATTGAAGTCAGAATCGTATCAATTTCTAATGTTACATTAAAAATATACATCATAGATATTAAAATTAAGGAAAAAAGTCAACAAGATTTAAAATTTAACTTAAAATTTATAGGTATTTGCTATGAATAAATCACACTAAACAAGTACAGTAGGTAGTAATGTTTTTTTACAAGCTGTGAACATGATTTGTCCATTTGTTCAATAAAATCATTAAAAAAATAAAAGTCTAGGGGTTAAAGTGTTCACCTTTAAAGCTGAAGATTTATGGTTCAATCCTGAGCGAGATATGTTTTAATTTTTTTTTTTTTTTTTTGGTCTGTGACAAAATACTGATACCAATAATTATTTTAATTTGGCATCCAATAATGTTTAGATACATCGATACATGTTTGTGCACAAATACAGCTAAGGATGATTATTTATCATAAAATTGAGGTGGTGTCTGTTTGTCTGTGCGGCTGCCATGACTAAAATACTAAACCGATACAGCCAAAATTAAACACAGCAATAGCCCAATAGTGTCATAGGCCTATTCACTTCCTTGAGTTTTTCTCGGGCCATGCCCCTTGGATGTCCAAGTTTTTAGGTGAGGTTTTCAAAAGTTATTGGACTCCATGGGAGCATGAGAAAATTCACAGCCTTTGTTTACCTTTGTGTTGACATTTCAATGTAAACAATCAGAACTGTTGAATGCTTATTTGAAAATTTCAGACAGCTGATCCAAACAAATTAAATAAAATATTTTACACAATTATTTCTAAAACTATGCCATTGATTATGGATTTAATGAAAGATTCTATAACCGTAAGTTATGACAATTATTTTATTGATACACTTTAATGTTAAGAGTAAGACAGATCAATGTAGGTCATACTTTTTTTATAAATTTTGTGGCTTTTTGTTTATAAATTTGAACTACTTTAACAAGTGTTTGGATTAGGTGGTAGTACATCTTCTATTGCGAAGCACGGTACAGAAGCTAGTTGATTACAAAACGTAAAAGGTTAATCTCATAACTTGTTAACAAATATGGGTTGAAAGATAAGTTGAAAGAGACAATATATATAAAGGATATGATTTTAGTGTTTGTATAAAGTCAATTCTAACACGGCTTATTAATATTCACAGTAAAAGAATAAACAATTTTTACAATCAAACAAAACAAAAAAGAGATCATTCACATTCAAATTGAGGTTATTTAGCTGAGAACCAGCATTGTTTATTCAATCCTTTGTCTGGATTTTATTCATCCTGGAAAACAACAGAGCAAAGCATTTATTTTGCATGGTCTATTCTAAACCTACAGCTCAACTTTTGTATTTCATAAGTACTTTAAAAATATGAAAACGTGAATAATTAGGTTTTCACCGTCACTTTGGCCATCAAGTAACACATTAAAATGATGTTTGTTTCTCGTGCAAATAAATCTCAAACATTATGTTGAGACTTTCCTGAAATTGGACTTGGTCAAAGTAACTAAATTGTTCACCTAGGCAGTAATTTCAGCTGAATCGATTTTGATTTATAAATAACTCGTTGGGTCCTTTTATGTATGAGTTCTTTCATTCAATGAAAAGGGAGACATTTTAGACATTGACAGGATTTTCACTGAGTTCTTATGGCTTTGTAAAATGTATCTATTTAAATAAAGTGATTAAAACAATTGTTGGCCTTAGTCACCAACAAGACTACAAGATCGCGCCACTCATTATACACTCATCTCCATTCATACTTGGCTTAAAATACCTACTTTGTATGGTCGCCATTTCAAAGAAAAGTATAAAAAAGTAAAAAGTATTGTTTCTGTTAAGCTGAAAACACATTATAAAAGGATAGTAAATTTGTAAACAATAATTGGATGAAATAAGTAATTTTAGGTTGGTAAGTATCAAAATTAAAAATTGCCGTATTGAAGAATTGGATTTATTCCCTTTGATAAATGGACCAAAACTAACTTATGAGTGTTTATTATCATTATATATTCTTTTGCTGTCCCAGGTCGAAGAACTTGATTTATATTAGAATATCTTTGTTTTTGTTGCCTGTGTTCTTGAGTGGGTAAGATGTGTGCTGCCCTATGCATTTTGCCAGCTTGTGTCCTCTTAAGTTATCTTCTTATCACTAACCCTATAGTCTTAAGTTTATCGTTTCAGTACCAGTACTTCATGTTTTGCAACTGCTCCATCTTTATATACACCCTCTTAAGAATAACGTCAATATGTGGCAGTTGCAATGAAACATGTTGTACTGCAACCTGCAACAACTTTCAAAGTAAATAAATATTTTTATCAATAAATTAAAAATCCAGAAGTAGGAAAAGCAATGCTGACAATTTTTACTTTTGGTAAAAAGTCCACCAATGTCTTACCTCCGCCATTCTTCTGCGCCAGATATGGGAAGCGCCAGACGTTGCCGAGACCGACAGCATAACCCACAGTCGCTAGGAGAAACGTAAGTTTTGAGTCCCACGATTCTCTCTCCTCTTCGCCAGCCTCAGGACGGAATATCGGTTTCCCCTCACTTGACCCTAGCTTGCTCTCCATACCACCTGACGTCTTGAGCATGGCTTGCTGGAACCATTAGTGTTCATTAGGTTTGACTTTCTTTTGTTATAGGGCTAGTTACATTTGTGTTTGGATCATTAAATGTTTTAACCATCAAGTGATCCCAACTCCTCAAATTTGTCTTGACAGAATTGAACCCGCCCTCTCTTGAACTGAAGTGTGAGATACTGACCACTTGGCTAGCAACATGTTGAAGTATTTCCGGTACTTACGTATTATACGGAGGCCACTTATTTTACAGCGCGCTGCGGCGGTTGGGTTAAGTTGGGTTATCATAAATATGTTTGTAGAACTTTCCTAGTTTCGTTATGAATCGAACTATACGAGATGAGTCATAAAAACTTATGATAACCCAACTTAACCCAACCGCCGCAGCGCGCTGTAAAATAAGTGGCCTCCGTATAATACGTAAGTACCGTATTTCCTTATTGACTGTCTGAAGTTTGTTAAATTATTATCAGCTGTTATTTTGCTATGTAAATATTAATGTTTATATTCATTGTAGAGAAAACAAGTACAAGATATGTCATCTAAATTGATTTTTGTTCCATTATAGCTTTTTAGTACAATTCTTTCATATTTAACAGTTATTCCTTTCCTTATATGTGTTGCCAAATTTAGCTACATTACAAACACCCTACTTTTATTGATTTTTATTCCAGTAACTGAATAGCTTAGCAGATAAACCTAAACACTGCAAATGATTGCGGCTAGCCTGCTAGTAATTAGCTGTAGCATGTTCAACGTTATAGGTGGATGATCCAGTCTTTATAAAAAAAATCTAAATACCGGTACATATGCCATGTGCAATCAAACAGTTATTATTCATGCTTTGTACAGAGGGATGGATATAGTAACAAGACATAAGTTTAGATCTTACCAGTATTATAAAAATATAACAGAGAAAATAGAAGATTTGCATTATTTAGGAACATAGGGAGGGATTTCTGATTCTGATAAATTAAGGAATAAGTGAATTGTATTTTTCAACTCTCCTACAGATAGAATCATAAATACCTATACTTTAAGATTGTAGAAGAAAATGTTGTTGGCCGAGTTACACTTTAGATTTATCACCGAACTCAAAAGCTTATTGGTTTGGTTAACAATGCTTCCTAAGAACAGGCCGATGTTAGCTAATAACAAGACAAGAGTTAGGGCCATTTTCCTCCAAAAATTATTTGAATTGCCGCTGGTGATAAAAATCACATTATTCAAATAAATAAATGAAATTCTCCACACAATGTAGTAAATAATCGTAGAGATTAATGTTCTACGGGAAGGTTGCAAGACAAATATAGAGGTGGATCAATCCAGCTCACAGTTGGTTGGCTCAAATCGCTTGACTTCACAAACCTCCTTTGATTGAAACTGTTTCCTTTCCTTCTTCATAATCTCCTTTTTTTGTCAGAATAAAGATTACAAATCTTAGGTGAAATCTTGCAAGAATATCAAAAGGTAATGCTAAGTTGCTTTAATTGATTTCTTTATTTTATAACAATGTTTTTTTTCCAAAATGTAAATGTTGGTAACTAGTTTAAATATTACAACAGTCATCAGTTTTACAAATCCACAGAAATATTGTCACCTGTGTGACTTTTCCCACTTTCAGAATTACAGTTCCATGGTTTCAATCTTGAAGCTGTACTATCCACATCCCACTACTAACCATGGTCAGCTACTATTGACATAATCTAGGAGATTATTGAAGACATGTTTCACTGCAATTAGTTGAAACAAAGATTTACGTTTCTGATTTGGAATCCCGTCCTCAGGTGGGAAAGTATTTAAAATACAATAGTACAAACAAGCCAAGCTTCATTAGGGAAACAGAGTTTGTAACACCTGTGAAAGGTGTGTCTAGAATGATACAAAACTTTACTTTTCGATAACTAAAGCTCATCTCCTAGAGCCATCTTACACTCTACACTCTACCTTGACGCCTGGGCTGGTATCGTCAAAGCCAGCGTTTGTTGCGCCATAGCTTGCCATGTTTCCTCCATTCTCCAGGACCAATCGGCCGCGGAGCTCTTTCATCTCAACTCGGTCCAGAGAGCGTTGAGGGTTGAGATCTCTGGAGCTCTGACGTCGCACCAGATGTGCGGTGTTAGCCATGACTCACTGCCGCATGGCTGCCAACCTCTGCAAAAATAATCCATGGTTACTTTATGTAGTTCTTAAATATATAATAAGGTGTCAAAGTTGACTGTGATACTATTATTGTGGTAAGCTCAGGATAACATGGAGGAACTAGTGAAAAGACACTTTTTTATAAATATGTTAAACACACTTATAACAATATAATTTTATCACACTAAATGGATCACAAACGATATCTCGATTTTGAAAATCGGTTCAGTGGGAAAACTGGAAAAGCGATGTTACAGAGGAAACCCTTATTGTATAGGTATATCGACTATACACATTTATTTCTGATAACATATACATTTGACATGCATTTTTCAACATTACGCGATCAAGATGTTTGAGGCCAGGAATTTGTTAAAACCAAGTTGTTATCAAGTGTTATATTGTTACTAATAATAAATAATAAATATAATAAATAAATATTGTTACTTTTATGAGTATTTTATTATGATCTACCAGAAGTACTCAGTTTAATTTTAAAGTACCTGACTTTAAGTTGGAAAATTAATAAATACCCCGAAGCTAAACAAACTGCATAATGTTTTGAGGGAGTCCTAAATTTACTTCTTCCTCAATATAATTTCCCTAATCTCCGATAAGATTTTATTATTGAATTTACGGTTTGACTTTGATTGTGGTTAAGAAGTATGGTTATTACAAAAGTGCAGTTACTTTCAGAGCTGTAGAAGGGGGTTTTCTGGGAAAAAATTATTTTGAATTTACCCTCTATATTTAATTATATTTTTTGTCCCACAATTATTTTTAAATTAAACTCTTTCAGGATGAAACCCATCTCCTGATAAAGAAAGACAGGTAGATAGGAGCCCATCAAAACTGAAGTGGAAGCAAGTGAGGGGGGATGTTAAGTAGGGGGATCTAGGAAGTCTGATTGTTTTAATGAGCCCAGTAATGATCATTAGCTACTTCCCATTTATCCAACAAGCAGGATGTGCTACATGCCTTATCTTCATCCATGTTTTCACAGGGTGGTTTTTATCACAATAGCATTGTATCTCATGGATTTTTACAAAATTTTGCATACCTACAAAAATTACAAGTTTGTATGTATCTTTTTGCCATTTTCTTACAAAAAATCTTTAAAAAATGCTACTGGCATAGATAAACACTAAAAAAGTATTTGTAATTCCTTCATTGGAAATACCACTGGAAGATTTTTTTTGCAAGGTGAAAATACAATATTTTAGATTAGATCTTAACTAGTATAAGGTCGCTTTTTTAGTTTTCCCACTGAACCGATTTTCAAAATCGAGATATCGTTTGTGATCCAGCGCACCTGCGAATGGTAACAAAAAGGTATATTTATGGTTTCACCCCCTTGCGTTTGATCATGGTGGAAGGAGAATACATAGATGTGCTATTCCAGTCATATGCTGACGTCACCCAGACTGCAAACACCAATTTTACCGTTTAGAAAAAAACAATAAAAACAAATCAATCAAATCAAAACAAATATACTTATATGGCAATACAATCAGGTGATTTTTTTGTTTGCAATCTGGGTGACGTCATCATGACGGGAATAGCACACCTATGTATTTTCCTTCCACCATGGCATTTGATGATTTATTTCTAGAGTTCACTTTAAAAGATCCAGTAATGCTGACCAACTTCCTTTATAACAATGTAAAATGTGAATTGGAATTTGACAGCTAATCCATAGGCATTATGTTTAACCACAGACTGATGGTAAACAAGAGACAGAACAGTTTGTATTGGTTTGTATTTTTAAACAGCAGGATAAAGATTTTTTTATTGTTGTTACATGGTTGAGGTAGGGTGGATAAATATATCTTTATAGTGTAGACTTTAAATAAACAAATTGAATATTTTGTAAACTAGTAGTTTTTATTCCCCTAATAACTGTATTAAACAAACACAATCTTTGAAGTGTGAATGAGTATTGCATTGGATTAGTTTTGAACCCTCTATTATAATTCAAAATTTGCGAGAGGGTCGCTTATGTTAAATAATACAGGAACCACTTAAGCTCGACCTCAATTGTTTTGGCACAGCTCTAAATGTCATTTTCCATGCATTGTACGACCCTCATGAAGTCAGGGGTTGTTAAATTACATTGCAAAGCATTAATCATTCCGTTTAGTGACAGTGAGCTAGTACGCTTATTTAGTTGAACTGTTAAACCAGTTATTTGAGAATGAGGGGTTTAAAGTATGTTCCAACCTAAAATACATTTAGTATTCAATCTTATAACTGTAAATACTGTACACCTATTTATTAACATTTACTTCATAAGCATGGTATTTTAGAAGATTCCTCTTTGCGTAATGTGTCCCATTATAATTGTCATCATAAAGAAAAAAAACATTAGTATAGAAGTTTTAGAGAATTATGAGTTAAACCATCATCAACAAATATTTGTTTGACGAATTAGCTGTTAATGTAATGTTTCCATGGTAGGATAATTTCCCAGGATCAATATACTTCCCCTTCGACAGGGTCCCAAGAACCCAGAATCATAAGATCAAAATAAGAACATAGGAAGTTTCTGACACACTTTTTTACTTCGATATTTTTAACAAATTAAATCATCTATTTTAACCATTTAACAATAAAATAAAGTAAGAAGTAAGTAAATACTGTACTGTTTAACCTAAAATAAACATGATTTGAATAATTGAATCAGAATCACATTTTCACCTGATATTTTCATAGGTCTATAAAAGATGAAAAACCCGACGCTCGTCCAAGTATTGGCATCAAATATTGTCATTGTCAGAAGCCTCTGTCAACACCCGATGCTGACGCTTCATCAAACTCTACACATATTGTGAGTTTTGCTCATCATTTATATCCAACTACAATATTCTCAATTTAAAACCTACATGAATAATAGTTTACTGTTACATTTTGAACAATATTCTATATTTGTCATATTTATATGATTTTGAGTTTTAAAAAGTTTTATTTTGAAAATGATATCTGATTACTATATTCATTATAATTTATTTTTAAGTGTATAACCTATAAGTAATTTGAAGTTTAAAATATGGCTTCTAGGATAAGAACTATTTTATGGAACATTCCTTCAGTTGTTCCATATTATAGAATAGAGTGAGCTATAGTCTAATACTTCCTGCACTCTGGTTGTTAGAGACCATCTTTTTAAAGAATCAAGAAATTTTTCAACTGTATATATTCAAGGTTTTTGTTATTATTAGCATGGAGAAAACTAAGGGGTTTTCATCAAATCATCAAGTCGTTTTTACAAAAGGTTTAGTGAGTTTTTCCAAATTCTGAGGTTCTATTTCGATTCTGGTTTTCCTCTCAGGAAGACCAAAATAAATATTCAGTCTGCTTCAAAAGTGAAATTCTCCTCTAATATTCTTGCTTCGAACAATCAACTTCATAATCACAGCACACTTAGCAAAGACTTAAATAGCGTTCATCCTCTTTGCCAGGAGTACGGAAAGGTAAAATAAAATGTATGAAGGATTATTTCAAAAGCCAAATCTGAAGCAGCACTTGATACGATAATCTTCCAACAAACCAAAAACTCTCTGGAATATTGTTATTGTTAATTTCCACTTACAAGCCCTTGGATAAGGAATAATGTTCGAGAATTTCTGTCTTAGATGAGACTTCCATTGTCGTTGATGAGCCACTGAGGTTGAAAGTATTTTCAATAATTTATATTCAACAGCTGTTCAAAGGTTATCTTCTCAAAAATGCAACATATATCAACATTTTAACAAAAAGGTATACTATGGGTATAAACTAAACTATTAAACGTTTACTTTTCTTTGAACATAATACATATTTGGCCAACTAGTTATACTTCATATTGATTTTACAATTTAATAAATTCTTAAACCCAATCGATGTAAATTTCCCCCATTCTAAAGAAAATGTCACTATTTAATTCTTGACATTATGGCTAATTTAAATTTAGCTGGATGGACATATTTCCTAAATAACAATATATTCCAAAAATAAATACTAAAGAGTTTTAACTATAACAAAATGGTATTGCTATATAACAAACACAAAGTGGAAGTAATAACAGGGGAAAATAAATGACGTTCCTGATCCAGGGTTTACAAGTGGTTTTAGGTCTTGTCACTCCTGTCAACACGATTATTCATTGTTGGGGATGTGTAATTCTGATTTTCAAAGTTAAATATGACACATCAAAGAACATTTAAACTTTTCTGGTTTGGTGTTAATCCTAACAAATAGCCATTAGTATGTTTTTTACTTGACAACAAATAAATACCAAAACTGCAGTGATGCACTATTTCTTTGATTATTTTGTACGACCAGTTGTAAAAAAACAGAAAAAGTTTTTGTTGATTCCAATGGTGTGAGATTTTTAGCTTGGTCAGAATAGTAAGTTAAGTTATATTTCTAGTGTTTTATTAGATTTTTGCAAGGTAGTTGCCATTTTATATTGTTGCAATAAATAACAATTACTCACAGTGGAACAAATAAATAGCACTTCATGTAAACTAAATATTAATTCCATGCAAAGCTTAACCATAAAATATTACACAATAATTATTTGAAATACAGTAGTTGTATATTTAAAGGACAACCCTGAGATGAATAGAAAACAGTTACAAGAAATTATTTTAAAGTTTCATATGAATAGTAATAAACTTACTCACTGGCATCATTTTTATATGACGCACACATAGAATCGTTGGTTTTCTCTATCACAGAACCAAAGAACATACATTTACAATGACAAGATTGCAACTGCAGAACTTTGTGCCAACAAACCACTCTAGAGTTTATATAATAATGCAAATTATTATTATATAATCCTCTTTTTTACTCTTGGGAGCCCATGACTGCAGTGGTTTTCAGATAAATGTGTGTATTGAATGTAGCTACCATGAAAGTATGGATCAAAAGGATTAACCACATGAAAAAATTGTAAGGGGATATTCCAATTAATTAGTTTCTTAAGTCATTAATCAAGGAGCAACATATCATCAGTTTTTGTGATACCT